GCAGGTACGGTTCAGCTAAATGTGAAAGTCGATGAAGAAATGGTACCATTTTAATTTTTCTAGGTAAATTATTCACAAAATGCCTTCCTTTTTTCCCCTTTTTTTATGACACCTCCACTTTCTTCCCCTCTCCCCAATATTATAACACATGCATTTCAACTTTTTTTGGATCCTTATAATTTGTGAACATTTGCACTATTCACACTTCCCACACTTGTCAATCTCCAGTAAAAACGCCTTCATAAGGTAGATATTATACAATTTAAAATATAAAATCCCCTTTACAATTATTTGTTATAGCTGTCTTCAGCTTCACTGGGGTAGCAGCAGTGAAATAGTTCCCACTTACTGATTTTTCATCATGCAGCTCTAGCAGTATCCCCAAGTCCATTTTTAGCATGGGTGGCTGGGACTTGGGGAAGTGGGGGAAAGGAAGATGTCCAAGGAGCATCTGGGGTTGTAGGAGACAACAGTGCTTCTTCATTTGGTTATGGGCGTGCTTCTTTTTTTGGTCTTGGAAAGACACAAAATTCACAGTAAATAAAATGATAGTAGGGGAGTGAAATGAGAGCCACATAGGTAATATTAAAACCAGAAAAAGACAGTCTTGCCTTTTTCACAGGCTATTGCTATGTGCTTTGTTCCTATTTCTTCACATAATGAGAAGGAGGTGAACTGTAAGCGGAGAAGTCTCTTATGCCTAAAAATGATATTTTTAAAATCCTGGTTTGCAACCCTTGCATTCATTGCAGCTGAGAGAAAATCATCTTCACTGGTATTGGTAAAGTGAGCTCTTTTTTCTACTGTAGCCTGGGCCTTTTCCTGTGCTTGCTATAAATGTGACACTCATTGTAATGACTAAGTGAACCAATCTCTTTAATCAACCAGTCAGATGAAATCCTGACTACTTAGGACCCTTGGGAGAATAGCATGTGCTGAAGCCTGTTTGTGAACCTGCAAAAGGGTGCAGTTTACATGCTTTTCTTCATTACAATCCATGCCAGTGAATGCAGGTGGTGTCACCCAGCTTCTTCCTCCTGTCATACACAGCTGAGCAACAAGGATAGCGCTCTAACCAGCACTGTGGGAATTCAGACTGTGGATCAGTTTTCCCTTCCAGCCTAAATAACAGACAAAGGTACTTTCCTGAGATCTTAGCAACGTCTTATCAAAGTTGTAGGGTATTCTTTTTTTTTCTTTTTCTTTTTTTTTTTTTTTGTGTGTGTGTGTGTGTACACCCCCTTATTTTAAATACACTCCCATACCATTTTACTTCACTCTCTCCACTATTACAGCCCACCTCAGGGTTATAAAAAGGGATTTCCAGAACCAGGTTTTCTATCTCGAGGATCTTCTGGCATTCACTGCTGCAAGAGAAGTGGCGTGATTGATTCTTAGGGAGCTTAAAGGCAGTCTTGGAGCTGAAGAGGAATTAGGTCTGTTGCAATACTGCAAGAAGGCCCTGAAATTGTTTTATGTTCCTGGGAGCTCAGCACTAGTGATGCAAAACTGAAGGCTTAAGGATTGCAACAGCCTTGGAGGGAATGGTGTATGTATGTGAGTAGGTAGTAAGAGGATTTTTAAAAGGTCATGGGAAACCCAAGGCAGTCCATCAAACAGCAGTGACTAAGGATTACTGAGAACCCCTCTATGAAACTCATGCCTTAGATGGCTTTTCTTAGCTGCTCTGCCTTCTACCCAAGTTCCCTGAGACAGCACAAGATGGGCTGTTAGCAATAAAGTTATTCCCATGCTTTGATAATTAATAACTCTTGTATGCATGTGTCTGGGGTGTGGGGGTAACATCCAAAAATGGCAGTAGGCCATCTGTATCAGGATTTCATAACTGGTTTTTTGTGAGGCCCTCCATTCTGTGGATGGCTGGCCATCCAAATTGCTCCTTAAGAAAGGCCTGTGGTGAGCCATGTACCAGCTGAAAACGGCCTTACATTGCACTATGTGACGTGCGCCATGATTTGGGAGTACTGGTCTGTGATTAAGATTTAATGTTTCACTGAAAAAATACTTTCTGACCACCTGAGAATGTTCAGTTCTGCCACAGATTAATATTGTAACTTTTCATGAATGGCTGTGCATTTGCACAGTATGTGAAACTGGGGTGGTATCTTTCCATGAATTCCATGAGAAAGATATTATTGGTACTTTTACTGACTTTAGGTTTTGAAAGTAAATCTAGGAGCCATGTCCAGTTAGCAGCATGATGGTACATTTTCTGTTTATGAAGGACTCTTCTCAGGTACCAGTCCTTTATAAAATTTTGAGAAAGTGGCTGAAAATGTCTCATGGAAATAGTATGAAAATTAATGTTATTAAAGCTATGGTTTGTTTTTTTTGGGAAATGGTGTGTGTTTTCAGGCCCTGCATAAATATGTGATATGTCAAGTCCTGTGGTTATGTTGGGTTTTAAAAGTATGGTATCAGTTGCAGCTAATACTCCTCTTCAATAGGAAATAAAATCATCTTTGGTACACATTTTTACTCAAACAGGTTCATCTTCATAATGTTACAGAATGTCACTTAGAAAAGCAATAATTTATAAAAAGACTGAATAATTACAAACCTTATGGTCATATTTTGCAAAGGGGAAGTTGCTAATAATCCTCCAAGTTAATAGCTGGGGTTAATGTATATTTTTTAATGGGACAGATTTATTTTCATAAGAGCCAAAGTTCTTTCTTTCTTAGACTGTGAATTCCATAACGGAATACTAAGGAGTTAAGAAGGAAACATGATGAAATGTTGGTCTTTGCATACAAAAGAGGATTTAAGTCATGAACTCCTGACCTTCTGATCCTCAATTACTTATCCCGGGTGAGGTAAATCTGTTCTACTTTAATGTTTTTATTAATGTGACTTGGAATGAATGCTAGCATTCTTTATTCTTAAAACATGTTTAAGGAAAATAACTCTGGATTAAAAAATACTAGATCTTTTAATTTTTAGTCCAAGTTTTTTTGCATAGCCACTTTCTAACAAGAAAAAGAGTTTTTAGAGAGGATTAGTTGTTGTTTTACAGGGCACACTGAACCTTGACAGTGGTACACTGAGAGCTGATGGCCAAGTATATTAGAATGTTACCTAATAAATAATATATTTATGTCGCTGTTATGACTTGGCTTCTGTGAAGAGCACTGTAAAGGCTCAGTGCAAGAGTTAGCCAGTGGTTGCATTAAGCCATCCTCTGCAGGTATTGCAAACCATCCAAACACACCACCAATTTTTACCAGATTTCCTATAAAATGTAGGTCTTGTCTTTATTTCTAATGTATCTTCTCTTTTACCAAAAATCAGAGAAAAATCAGACTCATGTTTTATTTTCTTAAGTGTCCTTCTGCTAACCATTTTTGAACATCAGGGCTATTTCCATGTACTGAGCTATGTTTGTCTTTATTATTTGAAACCCAGTAAGAAAAACAGTGCAGATATGTTTATGCAACTGCAAATTAGTCCCCACTTTAGAGAACTTATTTGTAGGTCTCAGGGTTCAGAGCTTCTTTAGTAACATGTGAACTTACGTGAGGAAGGAAGAAGGCAAATGGAAATGAGTGCAAGAGCAATGCCTGTTAGTATCACTGAAAATTAACTTCTGACCTAGCAAAGCACCGAATTTTTAAATCTTGTTTTTCAAATGATAAATCATGCTGTTGTAAAAGCCAAATGTATTTTTTAGTGTGCTGTAGCTCAAGGTCTGCTTTAAGTTAGGGTTACTTAACTTGTCATTCTGAATGCTTGTGTAATGTTTCATTAAGTGTTTAGAATTCACAAAGCATTGCATGCATTTGCTTTACTGAGCTGTGGAAATCTCTGCCAGAAAATAAGTGAAGAGACAAGAGGAAATATAATTGTCAGATCCTAGGATCTGACCTAATGTGATCAATTGGTAGTTCCATAGATTAAATTGCAGATAGAGTTTGCAAGACAGACTATTGGATTTTTGCTGTGGACTGGGAATGTCATATTTTTATGTCTAAGATAGCAAAGAATTCTTGTGTTTGGATTCTTTGTTTCATAACATTAATGCAGTAGATCTGCACGTATTTTAGCAAATATCACTGGTCTGAAAGCTATTTTTGTCAAATGTTGGAAATGTGTTTTAACAATTCCCAAAGACTGCTTTGGAAGAAGTTTAAATAGGCTGTCATAACTCACATGTCAGTTAACAACTTAACATCCTTGAAGTCTTTCTTTAATAGTTTTTTCATGAAAAACTTAACTTTTATGAACAGAAATAAGTACAATTGTTCTCGTCTGAAAAGTCAAGTGAACATAAGCATGAGAAACAACTCCCTTGAGAGGCAACACATCTCTAACAGAAGAGTGCCAGTATGCTGGTGTGAATACTCAGGGCAGTGATAAACTCTTTCTAACTCATTTTCCCATTCATAAATTGAAGCTAATGACATTTTCTCACTTTCTTTTTAAAGGAAAGTGCTAGGCCACTCATAACCATTAATATTGTGAGCACAGAGCTAGTGCTCACTTAAAACACGTGAGGACTGTTCTTTGTGTGTTCCTGGTTGATGCCTGCAAGGACACTTGCTTTTATGCATTGGCATAAGCAGCCTGCAGCTTGCTGAATCCTCTCTTGGCTGCCCTTTAAATAGGAAGCTCCTTACAAGCCCCCTATATTGCTCTAGTTCTGGCAGTCTGATCCTCAGGTGTCGTCTTTTGTGGGGGATCTTTGGCAGGAGCCAGGGGATTTGGTTAGGATAAGCTCCTGTCTGACTTTGCACACCATGATTTGCACAGATTTCCCAGGTGGAAGGTGATTAACATGTACAATAATCCTACTTACACAGTGAGGAAAGGTCTGCATGACTGGAAGGCTGGGATGTGGTGCTAGGAACCATTTTAACAGTGCTTTGGAGAGCGATTGGTAGTTCTGAGGCTTCTTGGAACGCTTGCCCCCACCATTTGTGTGGATTTTACAAATACCAATAAACTGATGTGCATAGCAGCTAACTGGGAGGAGATTTTAGTAGCATAAGCACCTGGAAACTGAATCTCATAGACACTAATGATCAACTGTTTGTTAAACTATGGTATGGGTTATTTGGGGGTTTTTCGAGATGCGCTATATTTATCTAGTTTAGGGCTCCTAAGACTTTCCATGCTTTCTGGTAAGCACTTTGAATTACATGTTGCATTTTATGTATTGAGCTCATGATACCTATATATAAGTGGCATGGCTGCCAAGTCCAGCATCTGGGACACAAAACAAAACAAAAAAATCCACAAACAAAAAAAAAACCCAACCCCAAAACACAAAACAAAAAAACCCACCTACATCCCGAAAAGTTGAGATGAAGTCTTGGATTAAAATAATTGCTGAAATTCACACTGAAATCCTATGAAATTAGAAGAGAGAGTATTTTTCATGTTCTGTTTTGTTTTGAAGAAATGTTCAATTGTTTTTATGATTTTTGCAGTTCATAAACTCATTCATGACAACTTTGCAAGTGAGGAATCAAGAGTCGTAAAGCAAGTATCCCTTACAGCATAACACTTGTTCATTCCCAGAGGAAGTCAGTTTTGTGCTTAGCATAAGGAAGGTATCCTGCTGGGAAAAATAAGACATTGTCATTTAATTGGACATTGCATCATAAAACAGATTCATCAGGGAGAATGTTATGGAGGGAATTAAGAGTCACACAGGTATTCTAAGTTTAGAAGAGTCTGTGTCTTACTAGTTCTTGTATTTGTAGTAAAACAAACTTATGAGATATGCTAGATCTTGCATCATCTTGACATGAGCTTCCAGAAACGTTCTTGATATATAGCACAGTCATGTCAGTGTGACCAAAATGCTTTCTGTTTCCACTTCTCTAACCTCCTTCCGCACTGTGGTGTCTGTGGTTGCCACAAAATAAATTCCATCTCACAGGACCTCTCTGAGCTAATGTTCACTGCTTAACAAGGTACTTGTCAGTCTCAGGTCCATAGTTTATCATATTCAGTTCCACTCACTTTTTCATTAGTCTCTCCTTCCAGAAATAGCCTGTCTTTTTCTTTGCCCAAGTTCTGGCTGACATCGCTCCTACCCAATCTGTCCTCCATAGTTACCAGTTCTAAGTTTTCTCTGCCTTTTTATACTAATCCACATTCCCAGGTTTGTTTTTTTTTTTTCTTTTAGCAGCCCCTGTTCTGCCTTTTGATGATACCACTTCAAAGTATCATCAAAGTCCATGACATTTGAACCTTGCACAGAAGGCATAGAGAGTATATGTTTTTTCCAGACTTTCCTGTTCCCAAATCATCTGCAGTTTTGGGAATACAGAATTGCTCATGGGTTGAAGCATTCCACCTAGGGAAAGCAAGTATGTACCAAGCAGGTGCAACATTCTTCTCTTTCTTGACACCACTTCAAAACGAAAAAGTTTGGAAAATTGACTAATTTGGGCAGATTTTCACATGGATAGCAGATGGGTCCCATGACCTTAAAGTGTACATTGCCCTGCAGACTTCCAAATCTTGACTTAAAGCATATGGATGCTCAAACTTGATTATGTTGTGTTCATAAGGTTTTTGTTTGATTTTAACATGTCATCAGAATATGTTAAACCAAGCAAAGCAAACTATTTTCTCTATGTTCACAGAAGTGATCTGTTTTGGCTAAATTTTACAAAAGGTTCAGTCTGACATGACTCTCAGCACAGAACACTTCTGCACAGCAGCTAACATTTGGTGAAGTCACAAGCAGTTGATAGCAGGGTCTTCTAATGGAAGTTGTCAGACAATCTTATTAATAGGCATGCTTGGAAGCATTGCTACTGATTCATCTCAAGAGCTCCTTAACTTGAGGTGCCCTAGGTGTTTTCTACTGCAATATGTATATTTTCTATAAAACTTCGGTAGCTAGTCATCGATGACAGCCACTGAACTCCACAGTATGCTGCTTATGCAGCAGTATGGATTTGTAATGCAGTTGTCTGTCTAATTTTTAAAGCCTCAGCATTGGTAAGGTTTTATTGTCAGACTTAGGACCATAAAAAGTTTAGGAGCTACTTTTAAATGTCTGCTGTTAGGCAGTTCACTGAAATTTTCAAGTTGTTTTTTGTAGTTTGGTGAATATGTTTCATGCAGTACTGTTAGGAAGTCTGCATTAAAAAGGAGACGCTGTTTAGGTTGGGGTGTCAGCTGTAACTTGTCAGTAATGATGACAGCCTGCATATCCCCCTTAGTCTAGGAACCACAGTCTTAACTGTTTTAATCCAGGACACAACTTCCTGTCTGCAGGGCAATTCAGTCTTGGAAAATTTCAGGTGTTTGTCAGTATTTGAAATAATTATCTTCATAATAAACTTGAACCTGTGCTTACATCCATCAAAGTAGAAGAAAGATCAGGTTTCTTGTTAGAGCAGTGCAGATTAGGCTTATGATGATGGGCTTTCTTGATTAACTGTTGAAAAGTTCCATTTGCTTGACATATTCCATACACTATTATGATATTTAGAGTATGCTCTGCAAAGACATTTGAATTGCCATGGTTGGACTTAGAGTAAAATAATAAAAATACAGGGTTAGAGAAGACCTTTCAGATGGACCTCCCTGATAAAGAGCTATATTTAAGCTCTACCTGACAAACATTTTTCCAGCTTGTTCTTGATAATCCTCCAGTTGTTGATCTTCTGAATTGACCTGTTGCAGTGCTTATGTGATTCTTGTAAGTAAGCCTTTTTCTGGTATCAAGCTGAACTCTCTTGCTACAAATTAAGGTAAATATTTCTTGTTCTCTCTGACTGAACTGATCAGTATCTTCTTTGCAATAGTCTCCTGCATTTTAAAAAGTATTTTGTATTTGTTTCAGGTTAATCTCTTCTATATTAAACACAATTTGTTCAGTCTTTCTTTACAGGTAAGGTATTTTGTACATGCTACAGTTTTTGGACACTGTTCTCCAAGAACTGATTTGAGAAAGTCAAGTTCAAACATGAACATCAGCTCATGTTAGTAAGTCCTGTAAAGTGTATTAAAGAGCTATATCCTCTACCTACTCCTGGACTATCCTTCTTTCTGTTAAAAATCTGTATTTAACAATCAGGATTAAACTTTGGGCCCTGTCCCACCTGTTACTACACAACCACTCCAGTATTACTTAGATTATTGAAATGCTATGTAAACAGCAGTTTGACCTCTTGGCTCCTATGACTCTTAATTTTTGACTAGCATACTAGAGAAATTGTAAGTGGGCTGATCAAACTAAGTGCAGAACTGAAAGCTTCTTCCCCACTTGAACACTGTTGATTGGGACAGCAGTCTAGGTCACAGTGAGGTTGAATTACTTTATATTATCAAACTTGCACAAAACCCTGCGTGATGGATTATGAAATTCCTAGGAGGAAAAAAACCCGTATCTGTGATATGGATCCTTATCTATGTTGATATATTCAGTGAGTTTTGAAAGATAGCAAGACTGTTCATTTGTTCACACTATAGTCCTTATCTTTATCTGACATTAGTTCAGTTTCTATATTCTTGACTATGGAGGGGAATTTCTCTTTCCTTTTTTAATTACACTAACATAATTGGAATTCAGGCATGTAATTTTGTCTTTTAAGGAAGTCTTTGTGATTATGCAGAAGATTTGGTTAGAGACAAAATATAATTGTCTTACATGCTACTGTTTGTGTTTTTTTGCCTTACTCGAAGTACCCAGCTGGTGTGTGCTGTTTTCAAGTTCATTAACACATTTCCTGCCTTGGCAGGAACCTCAGGCACTGGTGATACCCTTGACCTTGCTGTTGTTCCTAGAACAACTTAAGAGTTAGGACTTCTGCTCTTTTCTGACATGCTCTCATAGATCAGCATGTCATGTTTATTGCCTGTGGAGCAGAGCGAGCACTAGAAGTGCACTCTGGACTCTCCTGAGCTAATTGCCTTGAATGATTGTCTGTGATTACATGAGTTTGTAATGTTGTTCTTGCATTGCAATCCTCTGCTTCTTTAGGCACCATGAGATTCTGTATAACCACCCTTCATTAATCATCGCTGCAGGTGGTTTTATCTGATTTCTGTTTTCTTTTAAAGTTATGATTTTTTTTTTCCCATAATGACACTTCTTTCTTCATCGACCCTGTGTCTATATCTTGAAAATTTTCTTATTTTGAACAGTTTTAGTATACTATAATTTCATGCCAGTGCAAAGAAAAGAAAATAAACGCAAAAAAAAAATTCCCAGCCTATAAGAATCTGAAACTTTCAGTGTTCCTTTCATGTTCTAACTGGAAATAGTCCACCACATTTTTTAAAAAATCAAGATTTGAAGTAATTTTCTTTAACCGAGCAGTGACGTCCTTTATGGATGGACTTGTTTCACATAAAAACATTCAGGAGTCTAGCTATAGATGCTGCTTGAAAATTCTTAGGAGCTTGGCATTGTTCCCTTCTTATCCATATTCCTTGCAAACCTTTTTGTCTCCAACTGATGATGCAGAGCGGTGAAATGCCATTCAGTGTGGACTGAAGTCCAGAGTCTACTTTAGATACCAACTTAGACCATAAAAACATAGCATTGTCCCTTTGTAGTAGGGCCAGATCTTCACATTCTGAGTATCAGAAATAGTCATGTGTATGTGTTGTAGATTTAGACATTTTATGCAGAAGACTGTGCATACCCATTGTAGGATCTTTCTTTTTCAGCCTTGTATGATTAGACTTTATTTACACAGCACACTTTTAGAAAGCATATTTTTGAAATTACTGTGGAAGGTTTTATTGAGCTGCCAAAAAAAAAAAAAAACCCCAATACATTAAACCTGTAGGTCTGCATATATGTACTGCTCCAGTCTTAGCCACTGTGAAACGGGAAGTGGGCGTTCTTAACACTAATACATTGTCCAGAAGTATAATCTAATTTAAATTTTGTGGAGGTTCTTTTCATTTCCTGCAATGTCACCCACATTAAAAGTGAATACTGATTCTAAGTTTAAAAAGTAACATTAGTATTTGGATTCCTAAGAGTAGTATGAACTGTACTTCCTGGTAAGATGTAATATATGGATCTGTACAAAATACTGTAGCACTTTTAGGCTGAAATCAATTTTAAAATGAACTCAAATACAGAATAGGCTGTTCTTAGCTGTAACTTTGAAATTTATTTTGGTTCAGACTGCATTTACATTGTTAATGTCTGTCTTGAAATGCTTAGCAGACTTTAAAACACTTCTGTCCTTCCATGCTTTAATTAATTTGGAAGATCACATGCTTTAGAAGAGTTTTTTTTGTTTGCTTTTAATTTGGGGGAAAACGCTAAACATGTTTTTGGCTATTTTTAAAAGAGGCTATAATTATGTCCAAAATATCACAATGAGGAAATATTGAGTATGTATAATGGGTTTCTAATGTATTTAGCATATGGTAAAAATGGAGCCTGAAAATATTTGTACGAGGACATATTAAATTAGTACAGAAACATGCTAAACTCCTTAAAATGGATAACATTAGAAGTCCTTTCTATATTTTTCCAAACCATAATGAGTACTTGGTGAAAAACATTTTTTGCTTGCACAAAAGCACTCTGAAGTGAAATAAGTATGCCAGAACTTTAGAGGATGGGTTTCTCAGCCAGCCCAGTTTGAACAAGCTTCTTGGTCATCATGTAACTTACTTGTTCCTATAACACTTTAAAATTCACAGTGTTAAAACAATCAAAATATCAGGGCATGTATGGTAAAATGTGCAACTGTAATGTTTGGATTATAAGAAAATAGCCATTTGTCTGCTTTTCTGCCCATTAAAATTATGTTTCAATGGAACAGAGTTATTCTAAGAGGGAATTAAAATTGAGAGTCCTTTTAAAGGGTTTCACGGTTTTAATTTTGAAAAACAGGATTATCATTATACCAAATACTTAAAATCTAAGAAATTAATAATCAAAACCAGATTGATGTATAAGGAGAATAATAAATAATGAATAATAAACTATGTTAGAATGAGGAAAACTAATTCGGCTTTCTAAGAATTTTGAACTTGTGAGGTCAAACAAGTTTAAGCTCTTTTAAAATGCATTATTAAAAGACAAGGCAATATCCATAACAGCATCACAATCTAGCAAACTTGAAGGAGTTCTAGTATTCAAGACAGACTTAGTCTTCAAAGTGTACTCATGTCAAGTTGTACAGATATTTTAATAATAAAAAAGTAAATGTCTAGAAAAGAAAGAACTTGAATATTAAATGCAGTGAAATTTCTGCTGAAGAACACCACAGGTGACAAGAAAAAGAAATTAGTAAAACGCTGCCGCGATACCTGTCTCCAGAAAAGCTACTGTAAATGTATTCAATTAACAGTTTTACATAATTAGTGATAAAATCATAGATTAAAGGTGTTCACAGTGCCCAATTTTAGACTCCTGCAATATGATATAACTTTCTCAACCATGAAACAACAGCTTTTATAAAGCAGCTTAAATGGATGCTTCAAAGCAGTAATATAATGTCCTATGTCACTCTTTCCCATTCTGCAATACCTAAGGAGAAATTTCAGTCTTTGTCACCAAGGGAAGGAACGCAGGGAGAATTGCCACATCACTGCATGCCAGAACAGTCCTGCCAACTGGCCTGAAGTTAGGACCTTTCCTCAGCCAAGCTGTGTATATAATTTAATTTCCTGTTACTAATCCATAGATGTGTGATCATTTTTCTTACAGTGTATTCTCTAACCTGTGCTGTCTGTGTTGCAATACAAGCAAAATCGCCCTCAGTACTGTCCGGGGGGGGCATGAGGCACAGCATTGGCAGCTGGACGAGGGGAGGGATTTACCCCGCCTGACTGTGAGTCCTGTGAGCAGTGCTGGGTGCCACAGTGTCAGAAGGAGGGAGAGCTGTGGGAGAACATCCGGAAGAGTGAAATGGAGATGATGAAGGCCCTTGAAAGGAAGCCATGGTCTGTTTAGCCTGGAGAAGAGGAGACTGAGGGGAGACCTCATGGGAGTCTACAACTTCCGGATGAAGGGAGGAGAAGGGGCACACACTGATCTCTGCTCTGTGGTGACTGGTGACAGGGCCAGAGAAAATTACATGAAAGTGTGTCAGAGGAAGTTTAGGCAGGATATTTGGAAAAGATTCTTCACACAGAGGGTGACTGGAGACTGGAACAGGCTCTCTGGTCACAGCATCAAACTTTTTAGAGTTCGAGAAGTGTTTGGACTGTTCACACCAGGCAAATTGTGTGACTCTTGGGGTGTCCTGTGCAGAGCCAGGATTTGGTGTTCGATGGTCCCTCTAGGTCCTTCAGGATAGTCTATGATATTATGACTGTTGGCTCCAAAAAGAAAGTGCTCTTTAACAAATTCTGCTCTCAGTTCTACCCATGAATGAAACATTTTGATGTTGGGGTTTTCTTTCTCATTTGTGTTTTCCCATTGTAGATGTTTTGAACAGATGGCTTCAGTTTTATGAAATATGTGGCAGTACCTTCCATTAAACTCTGTGAACTAATATTGTGAACTAATATTGTTTATATTTGGCAAATTGTTTACTGTGCTACTTTTATTGTACAAGGCATCATGTTTCCTTACTTGAGGAAATTCAGCCTGTGTCTGAAGCTTAAGATGACTTTTTGCATTACTGTCAC